TGCATGGTGCCATGCTGCAGAAGACAGGCTGGGGGCGGCTGCATTAACACCCTGAGTTCTGTCCAAATGGCCAAGTCTCCAGGACCCAGACTCCTGCTTCAGAACCACTTCAGGGTAAAATAAAAATGCCCACTCCTGGGGTACTGCCACAGCCTCAGATTCTCTGGAGGTGGGGCCAGGAACCTGCACTTTAACCAGCTCTTTTGGGGATTCTTAGGAAAACTAAATGAATCTAGGTTCTCACTTGATGGAGGGAAAGGAAGTGTGGAAAGGGAGCAATTCGCATTCACAATAGACATTCTCCCAAAACTGAGTCTGTGATGAAAACACAGATCATATAGTAATTACGGATATGTCACACGGGTTGGAGCTCTCTCAACTTGCAAGTACAGAATCCACTCACCTGACAACGGCCAGTGCTGCTGCAAGGCGGCCCGGCTGAGCGGTAAAAGGCAGGTGGGCTCAGGTAACACCTGGAAGCGACTCAGCCTTTCTCAGCCTCAGTGCCCTCCTCTATAAAATGCAGGTACTAGTGGAAGATGCCCCGTAAGTTTGCTGGGAGGATTCAGTCAAATGGAGTCGTGTGAAGCAGTCAGCACAGGACTTGGCCCATGGCATGTGCTGAATTAATCTAAGATTTGCCTATTACTGTTAAAGGTCACTTTGAAATAAAAGCAAAAAAAACTGGGATTCCATGATTCTGTCATAAATGTCTATATCCTTTAACTCAGGTGATGGAGCTATTTAAGTCAGAGCATTCTTCTTAGGAAGAATTGTTTTCTATTTGTATTTGTATTTATTTATTTTTACAATAATTGTTTATTTATTTATTTTTGCACTCTAAGGCTGGAGTGCATGGTGCAATCACAGCTCCCCGCAGCCTCCGTCTCCTGGGCTCAGGTGATCCTCCCACCTCAGCCTCCCAAGTAGCTGGGACTACAGGTGCACGTCACCATACCTGGCTAATTTTAAAAAAAATTTTAGTAAAGACAAGGTTTCCCTACATTGCCCAGGCTGGTCCTGAACTCTAGAGCTCAAGCAATCCTCCCACCTCATCTCTTAAAGTGTTGGGATCACACGCGTCAGCCACCGTGCCCGGCCAGAGGCATTGTTGATTACTCAGCACAGTATGCATGGCACTAAAAATTTCACAAATGCTAGAGGCAGGAGAAGCAGGAGGAAAGTCAGCAGTCTTGAACTCTGACGTTCACAGCCTATGGGAGAACAGCACAGGGCTTCACTAGAATTATGAGTAAGCAACACATCTCACGGGGCCATTGCTACTCCTGCAAGCCTCGGAAGAGTGACCTGTTCTCTGTCACTAGCTTTCTGAGATCGCCGTGCTCTTCAGCATTTTCACAGCCTGTGCTCTGCAGGGCAGAGGAGCTGTGTGGGAGACCTGGAGGGTGGGGACTAGCAGTGTGGCCCTGCAGGGAAGGGGTGGGCTACTGGTCCAGGATCCTGGGAATAGCTTTCTCTCATCCCTGAACACTCTGGCGGATGCTCCAGTTGCACCTCCACCCCTACCCCCAAGCTGCTGGCTGGTTTTTAAATTACTGGCGTGCACCATGATTGGTTCCTGGGATTATGGTCAGGAGGTATAGTGTAGGGTCTAGACTCTATCCTTAACCCAGATTCGGTGGTCTGGGACAGGCCCTCACTCTGCAGGATCACACCTGCCGGCCACTGACCACTCCTAGCTGTTATCTACACCGCTCAGCAAGAGCAGTTTTAGCTGTTTGACGCCTTCTGTAAACTTCTTGAAGGTAACAGCTGTGTCTTAAGCCTCTTCGGCATTCCGCTGTGTGGGGCAGATGGCACAGGTTCAATCAAAGCTTTTGGAATATAATTTTCTGACAGAATGTTTCAAAAAGCCAACATCTTTAGACTCATCTTGACAAATCTGCAATGTGCCCAGTACATCAGATCACGACTTTCAGGCACATATTTTCCAGTGAAATGTCTTCTATCTTGGTCAGAGCTCCTCAGCTTGGCACACACACAAAACGCAACAAAAATGTGAATTTACAGGCCTTTCATGTACCACAAGAGCAAGGGCATGGCAAGGTGGGATCCCATCTTCTGAGATCCCCAACCTGGCACACAGAGGCTGGCAGGCTGGCAATGTCAGATCACAAGACCGAGTGACAGGGCGGTGGGGGATGGCCCCATGAACGGGGGCAGTGCTGGGAGCACGCGTCCGGCCTCAGCGCTTACTGCTCCACATTACATTTTCTAATCAAAATGTTCATGAGATCCTATGGTGACCTGGTGGGGTCGGCTGAATGGTGGCCCCCAAAAGCTATGCCCATGTCCTGACCCCTGGAAACTGTGAATGAGTTTACTTGGAAAAAAGACCCTTGTAGATGTAATAAGGACCCTTGAGATGAAGAACTCATCCTCGGTCACCCGGGGGACAAGCGTCCTTACAAAAGACAGAAGAGGGGAACGCCATGTGAAGGCAGGCCAGGGACTGGCAGGTCGCAGCCACAAACCAAGGATGGCCTGGGGCTACCAGAAGCTGGAAGAGCAAGAAGGGTCCTCCCACAGGGTCCTTGTGGGGAGCTCAGCCCTAACGATACCTTGATTTTGGATTTCTGCCTTTCAAAACTAAGACAGAATAAATTTCTGCTGCTTTAAGCCTGCAGTTAAAGGTGCTTTGTTACTGCAGCCATGGGAAATACCAAATTGTACTGGCTCTTCCCATCTACACAGCGGATTCTGTGTTTCTCAGTGCTCACATCTCCACCCACGGCTTCCTTCTAGTAAAAGCGTCATCCATAAACATTTAGGAGGTTTAGAACTGCGTATCATGGTAAGATGGTATCATTTCCAGATGCCATTACACCGGGGTTACTGACTGATTTGAAAGCTCTGTGTCTTTGTGCCTCGCCAATCTGCATGATTAAACTAGCAGTCTCACCATGTTCTGCACCTTGCTTTTTTGTTGTTGTTGAAGATGTTTACCATATCAACAGAAGATCTCCCCCATGGCATTTCACTGGGGAGAGGTCCTCTAAATTATTAACCGAGCACTGTATTCAAGCTTCTGTCTGACCTGCCTGCAAATGGACATCCTTGCTCACGTTTACCTGCCTGCGTGTCTGCCTGTGCGGCAGTGTGGTCGGGGTACATGCACCGCGGTCTCAACAGGTATCACCACGTGCCCTCTGAGGAAGCCCCACCAATTTGCCTCCTCTGTTTTCCTCACCACCTGCCGGTGAAGCAGAAGTGTCTCGCAGATGCTTCTATCCTACCACATGGAGCCGCGTCTCTGACAAAGCCAGCATTCTTCCAAAGGGAGACACAGGCCTAGTCACGCCTTAGGCTTCCATCAACAACTTGGAACCTTGACGGGTGCAATTCTGACTTTTCCTGAGCACCTCCCTGCTCGACCTAATGTAAACAGCTCCACAGCCAATTAGACTCCTTTGATCCTTGAGATGTTCTAAGGAATGGCAGCTACTGGCTCAGCAGCTCCTGTCCCTGAAAGGGGTCGCGGTGGTTCCCCGCCCCCCAGCCTCCATCAGTCACATCCCTCCCTGCCTTCACAGAGTGAAAATATAGTGGATATGTTAGAACATGAGTCAAACCAAGTCACTTCCTTGCTCTCACCTCCAGTGGCGTCCTAGCTCTCGTAGAATAAAATCCAAAACCCTTGCCATGACCTACAAAGCCACATGGTCTGGACTGTGGCTGTCTCTCCAAACTGAAGTCCCACCACCACGCACTGCACTCCAGCTTAGAACTCCTGAAGTTCCACAGGCGATGAGGAAGTGATGAGGGCCAGGTGACCAGGCCGCCCAGTGTTCTGGGGAGGTACCAAGGGTCTGGCTGGGGGGGTGGCAATGGGACCTGGTAGGCACTTTCTGCTTCCACCTGCTCCCATAAAGGCTCCGGCCACCTGCATGCATCGTCTTTCTCCTTCCCAAGGCTCTGGCTGTGCCAGTCACTTGTTGAGACACTGGTTCCACTCTTCTTCTCCAACAACAACCTGCTGGCTATGAGGACACTTTGGGGTCCAAACAACTGACCGAAGCAACCGCCAGCTTCAAAGTTCTAGGAGCCTCTTTTAGTGACTCTTCTACCCTATGTGCTCAGCTGTCCCACACAGGGTTTCAGTCTGAATTGGTCTTGGTTCCCGGCAATTGCTGCTCCCTTCCAGACCCTTACACTCCAGCATCCCACCTGGTCCCCCCACTTGCTCTCTGAGATACCTGCGGGCCCCGGCACTGCTATCCTCTCCTGAGGAGTGGCTGCTTCCTCCCGACTCACACCCTGCCCTGTTTAGCTGGTGGGTCGTAAGCCGGTGGTTCTGGAGCTGGCTGAGCATCCAAGCCAATCGGAGCTCTCAGAGGTCAGCTTAAGGCCCCATCCCAGATGGTGACTCCATAGGCCTCTTAGATGCTTGCACTGACCACTGGCTCCATCCTGAAACACCCCTCCCTTCTGTTTCCATGACCCTCTTCAGTTCTCCTGAGGACTCCGTGACTACTCACTTTCTGGCCTTCTTGGGCCCCCTCCTTTCTCCCATCCTGACTGCCGGAATGCCCCTCCTTGCTCAGTCCCCACTCTCCACACTGTGCCTCAGCGGGTAACCTCATGGGCTATGATGGTTTCAGCCAACACCTCTGCGCCAATGACTTCCAAGTCTACCTCAGTACTCCCTTCCAATACAAAAGGCATGCAGAAATTAAAAAGTGGGATGGTAGGCGATTGCTACTGGGGTCAGGCATACCTTCTGATGTTCCAAAGGCCCCTGGCATGTGCCTTTTAGTTATATCTTTCCCCAATCCATATACCTGTCTACTTGTGACAGGCAGCTAGGGCCACAGGGCATTTCAGGGCCACTGAGAGAAGACTGGCTAACATGGACCTTCTCATAAACACAGTATGGTAACAAACCAAACTAAGCCCTCTGTGTCACTGAAAACACGAAATCCATCCACGTCCATCTGGCCTTTCTGTTTCAAGATCCCCACCCTTCATGTGGCACTTACCCCCAGGTACTCCGTGGTCAGAAGCTTCTCTCCTGAGAGTTCTCCGAGCTGGGGCTGGATCAGTTCGTCTTTGTCCAGATCGGCTTCCATGATGTCATGGTCCTCCTATTTCAGGAGACATGGGATGAATGCCGTGGACACCCTGCCACAAGCTCCCAAGGGGTGGCTCCCCAGAACATGTAGTTGTCATGAAACAAGAAGGCCTCAGCCAACTACAGCAACTTGAAGGCTTATATTCCAAGGGGGCTCAGGGGTAGTCTGCCTCTGTTCCCAACCTCTCCATGAAGACAAAAGGGACAAGGCCAACCAGCCTCTTCAGGAAGCTGGGAGCCTCCATTGCTTAGGTGTGTGGAGGTTCTAGAAGGCTCTTTAAAGTCTCTCCTAATCACAGTTCTCAGAACTTATCTCTCTGTGAGGTCAAGGCACCATATGAACAGTCAGTCAGTCACTATTAAGCACCTTCATATATACAGGCCTTATGGGGGATCGGAAACTCTAGAATAGGTTTGCTCGTCTCAAGAAAGTTTACAGCCAGTAAGTAACAAGACTCAGCAAAAAGGGCAGCACTGTCCTGCTTCTGGGAAGACAGAGTGGATGTTCCTTTCCATATTCCTCCCACTGTGTACAACCAAAAACACTGGACACTACCTATAAAAGAAACATAAGGTGACCCTGAAAGATGGAGAGAAGAAGGCAGACTGCCTAGGGGCCTTGAGACCCAAGGATGACAGCTGGTGACGTCCCTGGGTTTTCTTTTCTTTTTTGAGATAGGGTCTCACTCTTGTCACCCAGGCTGCAGTGCAGTGGCATGATCACAGGTCATTGCGCCCTTGACCTCCTGGGCTCAAGCAATACTCCCTTCTCAGCCTCCCAAGTAGCTGGAACTACAGGTGTATGCCACCACACCTGGCTAATTTTTGTATTTTTTTGTACAGACGAGGGTTTGCCAGGTTACCCAGGCTGCCTGGGTTTTCTTTTTGTTTCGTATATGCCACATTTGGAGCCTAAGAAACCAACAACCAGAAATGTCAATGTTGAAAACAAAAAAAGTCCCCCAAAGCCTGCTTCCTTTAGCCAAAGGACCAGGACAGGGGAAGGCTGGCATGACAGGAAAATTTTAGGAAATAAACACTGGAGAAAACATGGTAGCTAAACTCCCACCTGCGCCAGCAAGGGCCTCAGGAGCCCCAGCTGTACCCTCACCAGGCTGGGCTGCACAGCCCAACACCCCAGGTGGTGATACCAGAGAAGGCTGCGTAGACAGCAGTTTTATCCTTGGTAGGCGGTAAGGAGGCCCCTACCCCACAATGTAAGTGAAGACCAGGTGGGAGCCTAGACTTCTACCCACACTTGGCAGTGACCAGATGCCCCTCACATCCTTCCTGGGGTGGTGTCAGAGGAGCCGTGTGGGGCGCAGTGAGTGACGGGGTACTCTTGTCCCTTCTAGGCAGGGAGGCATTAGTGGAGGCATAGTGGGGATCCAGGACCCCCCATCAACTGGTGTCAACCATGCCAAGCGTGGAACCTGGAATTCTACTCAAACTTGGCAGTAATTAGAAGGAGTCCCTGCAAGGAGTCCCAACAAGGCAAACAAAGCAAATAAAAGCCATACAGATGAGAAAAGGAAGAAAAACGATCCCTATTTGCACTTAATATGACTGTCTATGTAGAAATAAGGAATCTACAAAGAAACCACATACACACACAAAAAAACCCTCCTAGAAGTAACGAGTTCAAAAAGCTCACAGGATATAAGAAAAACATATAAAATCAATTTCTATAAACTAGTAAGGAACACGAACATTGAAATTAAAAATATAATGCCATTTACAATTGCTCAAAAAAAGAGAAATAGGCATAAATCTAACAAAACATGTACAACATTTATATGCTGAGAACTACAAAACTCTAATGAAAGAAATCTGTCGGCAGGGCGCAGTGGCTCACGCTTGTAATCTCAGCACTTTGGGAGGCCAAGGAGGGCGGATCACGAGGTCAGGAGATCGAGACCACGGTGAAACCCCGTCTCTACTAAAAATACAAAAAATTAGCCGGGAACGGTAGCGGGCACCTGTAGTCCCAGCTACTCAGGAGGCTGAGGCAGGAGAATGGTGTGAGCCTGGGAGGCGCAGCTTGCAGTGAGCCAAGGTCGAGATCGTGCCGCTGCACTCCAGTCTGGGCTACAGAGCGAGACTCTGTCTCAAAAAAAAAAAAAAGAAATCTGTTGGGCGCGGGGGCACATGCCTGTAATCTCAGCACTTTGGGAGGCTGAGGCGGGCGGATCACCTGAGGTCAGGAGTTCAAGACCAGCCTGACCAATATGGTGAAAACCTGTCTCTACTAAAAATACAAAACTAACCGGGTGTGCTGGTGGGTGCCTGTAATCCCAGCTACTTGGAGGCTGAGGTAGGAGGATCACTTGAACCCGGGAGGCGGAGGTTGAAGTGAGCGGAGATCACGCCACTGCACTCCAGCTTGGGCAAAAAGGGCAAAACTCTGTCTCAAAAAAAAAGAAAAAGGAAATAAAAAATTCAAATAAATACAGAACCACACCTCATTCATGCATCAAGAAGACTCAACATAGTTCTCCCCATATTGATTTACAGGGGTAATGGAATTTCTATCAAAATCCCAGCAAGAGATTTTGTAGTCATAAGTAAGATTATTCTAAAATCTATATGGAAAGGGCAAAGAATATTGAACACGTTGGCCGGGTGTGGTGGCTCATGCCTATAATCCCAGCACTTTGGGAGGCTGAGGTGGGCTGATCACTAGGTCAGGAGATTGAGACCATCCTGGCTAACATAGTGAAACCATGTCTCTACTAAAAAAATACAAAAAAAAATTAGCCAGGCATGGCGGCAGGTGCCTGTAATCCCAGCTACTCGGGAGGCTGAGGCAGGAGAATGTCGTGAACCCGGGTAGTGGAGCTTGCAGTGAGCCGAGATTGCACTACTGCACTCCAGCCTGGGCGATAGAGCCAGACTCTGTCTCAAAAAAAAAAAAAAAAAAAAAAGAAAAAAAAAAAAAGAAAATTGAATACACTAAGACAGTTTTGAAAAAGAAGAACAATATGGGAAGAATCAATCTACATGATTTCAAGCTATAGTAGTCCAGATTGTATGCTACTGGTAGAGGGACAGACACATAGATCAATGGAATGGAACAGAGAACTCCAAAACGGACCTACACAAGTATGTCCTGTGGGTTTTAGACTAAGGTACAAAAGAAATTCAATGAGAAAGGACAGTTCTTTCAACAAATAGTGCTGGAGAAATTGAACATTTGTAGGAAAAAAACTGAACTTCAATCTAATTCTCATATCTTATATAAAAATCAACTCAAAATGAATCATGGACTTAAATGTAAAACTAACACATTTTTAGAACAACCCATAAAAGGAAAAAACTGATAAACTGAATTTCATCGAAAAATTTAAAAAGTTGCTCAGTGAAAAGACCCGTTTAAGAAGATGAAAAGGAAAGCTATAGACACGGAGAAAGTATTTGGAAACTATATATCCAGCAGAAAACTAGTATCAAAAATAAATAAAGAACTCTCAAAACTCAACATTCAAAAATACCCAAAAAATCTAATTAGAAAATGGGCAAAAGACATGAAGAGACACTTCACCAGGGAGAATATACAGATGGCAATAAGCACATGAAAAGATGTCCAATATCATTAGCCATTAGGGAAATGCAAATTAAAACCACAATGAGATATCACTACATGCCTCTTCAAATGGCAAAAATAGGCCAGGTGCAGTGGCTCATGCCTGTAATTCCAGCACTTTGGAAGGCCAAGGCAAGTGAATCACTTGAATCAGGAGTTTGAGACCAGCCTGGCCAGCATGGCAAAACCCCCGTCTCTACTAAAAATACAAAAAATTAGCTGGGCCTGGAGGCACGTGCCTGTAATTCCAACTACTTTGGAGGCTGAGGCAGGAGGATTGTTTGAGCCCGGGAGGCCAGGTTTGCAGTGAGCCGAGATTGCACCATTGCACTCCAGCTTGGGTGACAGAGTGAGGCCCTGTCTCAAAAAAAAAAAAAAAAAAAAGAAAAAGAAAAAAAAGGCAAAAATAAAAAACATTGGCAATACCAATTGCTGGCAAAGATGCAGAGAAACTAGATCACTCAAACATTCCTGACGGAAATGTAAAATAACGCAGGTCCTCTGGAAAACATTTTGGCAATTTTTTAAAAAGCTAAACATCCTGGGGCCAGGATCGGTGGCCTGTAATCCCACCACTTTGGGAGGCCGAGGCGGGTGGATCACGAGGTCAGGAGATCAAGACCAGCTTGGCCAAAATGGTGAAATTCCGTCTCTACTAAAAATACAAAAATTAGCTGGGCGTGGTGGCGGGCATCTGTAATCCCAGTTACTTGGGAGGCTGAGGCAGGAGAATTGCTTGAAACTGAAAGGCGGAGGTTGCAGTGAGCCAAGATCATGCCACTACACTCCAGCCAGGGTGACAGAGCAAGACTCAGTGTCAAAAAAAAAAAAAAAAAAAAAAAAAAAGCTAAACATACAGCTATATTTCGGCAATTTCTTAAAGAGGTAAACATGCAACTATATAGAACCAGCAATTATACTCCTGGGCATTTATCCCAGAGAAATAAAAGCTTGTTGGCATACAAAAATCTGTATGCGAATGTTTCATGGCAGCTTTATTCATAATAGCCCCAAACTGGAAACAATAGATGCCCTTCAACAAGATAACAGGTAAACAAATGTGGTACATACATATCACAGAATACTCTCAGAAAGAAAAGGAACTACTGATATACACAAGCCTGGATGGATCTCCAGAGGATGCTGCTGGTGAAAAAAGCCAGTCCTCAGTGGCTGCATACTATATGATTCCATTTCTATAACATTCTGGAAATGACAAAATTACAGAAATGGAGAACAGATTAGTGGTTGCCAGGATTTAAGGAAGAAATGGCAGTGGCTGTAAAAGGGATCCTTCTACGAGGGATCCTTGAGTGATGGAAATGTTCCGATCTTGAATTAAAAACAGAAGAGTTAAAAATAAAAAAACTAGCATATGTGAGATGTCACAAGGCTCTGTATACTCGAATGCCGACCGAGTGGCACACACA